CACCAACGATGTCGAAAAATTTGTTATGAAATTCTCCGATTCCAAGTTATCGCGTACTAGATAATCGACTATGGAGAAGACGAATCTGTAATTGATTGAATAAGCTTTTAAAACTTTTCGATTTGGTGATATGAGTCCGTAGAAGAGTTTTATCATTTGTGAGTAATCAGCCGGGATGATTCGGGACAGCTTGTTCGTTAGCAGCGAAATATATAAATAGATTTTTCTCTTTGTATGTGTTATGAGTCCTTTAGTTCATTCACATGACTGGCAAGATGATTCACAATAGAAAAAACTATATTCAGCTGCTAATTATCAAGCTAATCCGAATCATCCTGGTCACCTACTTGCGAATGATGAAACTCGTTCACAGAATCAACCGATATCTATCACAATTATAGAAGAAACTAATATCAGATCCATATGAATGGGATTAAGAAGGCAAGTAGAATTCATTAGTGCTCGAAAAGTATCCCTTCCGATGTATATACATCCAGTACAGGTTACTTTTTTAGACTCACTATTGTTGTTCTATTTAAATGGGTTCATGAATAAACTAAAGTATACTTTCTTCTTCGATGATTTGTCTATGAACCGGAAACAGAAGACATATAGTTTTTAGCTGAGTTGCGTACGTTTGATAATGACCAATAGACCGATATATCCATTTTTTAAAATGTCAGGTTGTCTCTCATTTTAATTTTAACTTTCTTAATCTTCGTTTTCTTCTTTTCCTGTTTTTTCTTTGCCTGGTTCTTCAGTATCCTCTTCAGTTGAACTCTCGCCAGGTTCGATGTTTCTGAAAAAAAGAAGATTCACATTACTTATTGGAGAGATGTTTTTTTATGTATAAAACTACTCACTGTGCTGGATGATGTTTTTGTGGATAAAAGTCGTTTTTAAAATCAAAATTTTTACTTTCTAACGTTTTCGAATTTTGCGCCGCCGATGAATGTTTCTTCTCTTGTTTAAAAAAGTCATCGTCAAATTTTTGGAAAAAATTACTATCATCGAATTTATAGCCATCTTGTTCATTTAAAATATTGCTTGAAAATTTTCCGTTACTATCTTTTCCATCATCATGTTTGTTATCATTGTTTGGACTGTTATAAACATATACCTCATTCACTACATGTTTTGAACCTGTACCAGATACGGAATGTGAACTTTTCTTTTCTAAAAAATTTCCCTCACCACCCAATGGTTGATATTCATAGTTGGTATATGTCGGTGCATCTTTCGCTTGGATAGAAACAACAATCAGAATAAAATAAAATATGACAATGTGTGGCATGATCATCTAAGAGAACGAATAAACGAAAATGATTTTAGTCGAAGAAGGCAATGATTATATATCATCATAGTACCTCCTTCTTATATAAAAAACACAAGTTATCTATTAAAGTACCATCATGAGATAAGCATCTGCTAGTTTAATAACAATTAAATCGTATTTAATCATGTATGTTCTTTGGTGTGATATGAATGGGGTCAAATTACACATAAACAAATGTCTCTGAATTTTATTTTCAAATTCTACTAAAATGTTTCCTTTACTCACTCACTCATTCAATAAACAACGTTGATATAGAAAGAATTTCGTCTCTTAAGCTTCTTGGTATGATTATTTCATATAATTTAACGTGGGAGGCTCACATTGAATATGTTTCAATGGAATCTCGTCAAATGTTATGCTCTATCTGAAGAGTGCTCTACATGACTCGCCTTCATTTCTTTGTTGTCATCTGTATAAAACTTGTGTAAGAACCGTGCTTAAATACGGTTGTGGTGTTATCTACGATTCCACTTTTACTTCTGATCTTGAAATTTTGGATAAAATTCAACGCCTTGCTAGTAGGATCATTTTACAAGATTTTAATAGTTCTTCTCTACTCAAATAATTTAAAATTCAACCGCTTTCACACAGACATCTATACTACCGCCTTCTCTATTTCTATAAAATTTTCAGTCATAAAAGTCCTTTCTCCTCTTTTGATCGGATTTCACGGTTAACGACGCGTCAAAGTTCTCGATTAGGCCATGATAGACGCGTGTATATTCCTCGTTTAATATCAAAATCTGCATCTAGCTCTTTTCTTCCGCGCATCAAAAGATAGGAATGAACTACCTTTTGTTTTAGCCTGTCAAACTTCTTTAGTCACATTTAAAAATATGCTTAGAGGTTACACAGGCTTTAATAATGCTATTTTACTTAGTTTTTTATATTTTTAAACTTTTAGTTTTAGTTATCACAGGGTATCCACGGATGCCACAAGTCTTTTATTCTTTTTGTGATATCCTGTTCTTGAGTAAAATAAAATCTTATTTTATCTTATTTGTATGCACACTTCCATCACTTGCGTGTGATATGCTCTCTTTTAAACTATAAAACCCAATATTTATTTGACGCCTTTGTGTGTTTATATAGCCGACACATAAAGACTAAATTAGAGAGCCATGGTGATTTATCATGAAGAAAATTGTGCCATTTTCTACTAGGAAAACTTAAATGTTTCCGTTATTCGCGTTGCTATTGTACTATTTGAATGAAAAGTATAAAGAAATAACTTTTCTGAACTATTATAGTGATTTTTACTAGTACTACTATCGGCGCCAAAATATAGTGCGGCTAACTGTTTTTCGACTAACTATTTATAGGAATAAGATAAAGACCTGTGATTTTCGCTATTCGATAGCCAAGACTTGAGCAAAACTTTCCGCAAGCGGAAACAACTTTTGAAAAAATTTCAAAGATCAGGTTTCCAGAGAATCTTTGGAAAACCAGTTCCATTCTCAGAAAACTAACATACAATGCTAGTAATTTTTTGCATGCGTAGATAGTTCGGACGTTACTCTACAAGATTATGCAAGTCCCGGCTCTCCAGCTATCTTCGTTCGGACAGAGCTCGCTTTTCACGAGCACGTGTCTATCTCCGAGCAGACATCTCTGGGAATCTTGAAATGCCATGGAATATAGGTAATTGACTACGCTGAGCATAGTCGCAACATTTGCTTTTGTGTAAAAATGAATATAACTTCGTCAGGGGCATTTTGTGAAAAACGGTTTTTCGCCTGTTACTATCAAAAATTAAAATCCTTATATCTCGATCAAATCTCACGCTGACTCTAGGAAATTTTCAGGAAACGCTCAGGACAGCTCATAAAGCATAATCGAACACGAAAAGGTGAATTTCAACCGGGCATTGTTTTAAGGTTTTCCAGAAACCTTCTGAAAAACCGTTTTTCACAAAATGCCCCTGACGAAGTTATATTCATTTTTACACAAAAGCAAATGTTGCGACTATGCTCAGCGTAGTCAATTACCTATATTCCATGGCATTCAAGATTCCCAGAGATGTCTGCTCGGAGATAGACACGTGCTCGTGAAAAGCGAGCTCTGTCCGAACGAAGATAGCTGGAGAGCCGGGACTTGCATAATCTTGTAGAGTAACGTCCGAACTATCTACGCATGCAAAAAATTACTAGCATTGTATGTTAGTTTTCTGAGAATGGAACTGGTTTTCCAAAGATTCTCTGGAAACCTGATCTTTGAAATTTTTTCAAAAGTTGTTTCCGCTTGCGGAAAGTTTTGCTCAAGTCTTGGCTATCGAATAGCGAAAATCACAGGTCTTTATCTTATTCCTATAAATAGTTAGTCGAAAAACAGTTAGCCGCACTATATTTTGGCGCCGATAGTAGTACTAGTAAAAATCACTATAATAGTTCAGAAAAGTTATTTCTTTATACTTTTCATTCAAATAGTACAATAGCAACGCGAATAACGGAAACATTTAAGTTTTCCTAGTAGAAAATGGCACAATTTTCTTCATGATAAATCACCATGGCTCTCTAATTTAGTCTTTATGTGTCGGCTATATAAACACACAAAGGCGTCAAATAAATATTGGGTTTTATAGTTTAAAAGAGAGCATATCACACGCAAGTGATGGAAGTGTGCATACAAATAAGATAAAATAAGATTTTATTTTACTCAAGAACAGGATATCACAAAAAGAATAAAAGACTTGTGGCATCCGTGGATACCCTGTGATAACTAAAACTAAAAGTTTAAAAATATAAAAAACTAAGTAAAATAGCATTATTAAAGCCTGTGTAACCTCTAAGCATATTTTTAAATGTGACTAAAGAAGTTTGACAGGCTAAAACAAAAGGTAGTTCATTCCTATCTTTTGATGCGCGGAAGAAAAGAGCTAGATGCAGATTTTGATATTAAACGAGGAATATACACGCGTCTATCATGGCCTAATCGAGAACTTTGACGCGTCGTTAACCGTGAAATCCGATCAAAAGAGGAGAAAGGACTTTTATGACTGAAAATTTTATAGAAATAGAGAAGGCGGTAGTATAGATGTCTGTGTGAAAGCGGTTGAATTTTAAATTATTTGAGTAGAGAAGAACTATTAAAATCTTGTAAAATGATCCTACTAGCAAGGCGTTGAATTTTATCCAAAATTTCAAGATCAGAAGTAAAAGTGGAATCGTAGATAACACCACAACCGTATTTAAGCACGGTTCTTACACAAGTTTTATACAGATGACAACAAAGAAATGAAGGCGAGTCATGTAGAGCACTCTTCAGATAGAGCATAACATTTGACGAGATTCCATTGAAACATATTCAATGTGAGCCTCCCACGTTAAATTATATGAAATAATCATACCAAGAAGCTTAAGAGACGAAATTCTTTCTATATCAACGTTGTTTATTGAATGAGTGAGTGAGTAAAGGAAACATTTTAGTAGAATTTGAAAATAAAATTCAGAGACATTTGTTTATGTGTAATTTGACCCCATTCATATCACACCAAAGAACATACATGATTAAATACGATTTAATTGTTATTAAACTAGCAGATGCTTATCTCATGATGGTACTTTAATAGATAACTTGTGTTTTTTATATAAGAAGGAGGTACTATGATGATATATAATCATTGCCTTCTTCGACTAAAATCATTTTCGTTTATTCGTTCTCTTAGATGATCATGCCACACATTGTCATATTTTATTTTATTCTGATTGTTGTTTCTATCCAAGCGAAAGATGCACCGACATATACCAACTATGAATATCAACCATTGGGTGGTGAGGGAAATTTTTTAGAAAAGAAAAGTTCACATTCCGTATCTGGTACAGGTTCAAAACATGTAGTGAATGAGGTATATGTTTATAACAGTCCAAACAATGATAACAAACATGATGATGGAAAAGATAGTAACGGAAAATTTTCAAGCAATATTTTAAATGAACAAGATGGCTATAAATTCGATGATAGTAATTTTTTCCAAAAATTTGACGATGACTTTTTTAAACAAGAGAAGAAACATTCATCGGCGGCGCAAAATTCGAAAACGTTAGAAAGTAAAAATTTTGATTTTAAAAACGACTTTTATCCACAAAAACATCATCCAGCACAGTGAGTAGTTTTATACATAAAAAAACATCTCTCCAATAAGTAATGTGAATCTTCTTTTTTTCAGAAACATCGAACCTGGCGAGAGTTCAACTGAAGAGGATACTGAAGAACCAGGCAAAGAAAAAACAGGAAAAGAAGAAAACGAAGATTAAGAAAGTTAAAATTAAAATGAGAGACAACCTGACATTTTAAAAAATGGATATATCGGTCTATTGGTCATTATCAAACGTACGCAACTCAGCTAAAAACTATATGTCTTCTGTTTCCGGTTCATAGACAAATCATCGAAGAAGAAAGTATACTTTAGTTTATTCATGAACCCATTTAAATAGAACAACAATAGTGAGTCTAAAAAAGTAACCTGTACTGGATGTATATACATCGGAAGGGATACTTTTCGAGCACTAATGAATTCTACTTGCCTTCTTAATCCCATTCATATGGATCTGATATTAGTTTCTTCTATAATTGTGATAGATATCGGTTGATTCTGTGAACGAGTTTCATCATTCGCAAGTAGGTGACCAGGATGATTCGGATTAGCTTGATAATTAGCAGCTGAATATAGTTTTTTCTATTGTGAATCATCTTGCCAGTCATGTGAATGAACTAAAGGACTCATAACACATACAAAGAGAAAAATCTATTTATATATTTCGCTGCTAACGAACAAGCTGTCCCGAATCATCCCGGCTGATTACTCACAAATGATAAAACTCTTCTACGGACTCATATCACCAAATCGAAAAGTTTTAAAAGCTTATTCAATCAATTACAGATTCGTCTTCTCCATAGTCGATTATCTAGTACGCGATAACTTGGAATCGGAGAATTTCATAACAAATTTTTCGACATCGTTGGTGATATGCACCCGATATCTATCACAATTATATCAAAAACTAATATCAGATCCATATGAATAAGATTAAGAAGGCAAGTTGAATTTATTAGTGCTCGAAAAGTATCTCTTCTGATGTATACATATCTAGTACAAACTACTTTTTTAGAGTCACCATTGTTGTTCTACTTAAATAAGTTCATAAATAAACTAAAATATACGTTCTTTCTCTATGATTTTGTCTATAAACCGGTAATAGAAGATGTATAGCTTTTATTTGAGTTGTATACGTTTGATAATGACCAATATGTTGATATTTTACTATTATTAGTAAATAAAATATCAAATTATATTTAGTTACATTAATGAATTCAATTTATGAAGGGCTTCAAAAACATTTCCTTACGTTTTTCTGTCAATTTTACTTATTTTAATGAGCTGAGCTTTTTTGTGTGAACTGAATGTAGTTTGACGAAGAAAAATCGTTGGGTCGTAACGATAAATATTTGTCTCTATTCGATACAATTGTTTGTGGTTAAATTCAAAAACTTAATTTTTCCGATGCCGTATGTTCAACAGGTTAAACAGAGTTTTTATAAACATATATCGTCTGACTGAAAACATCTTCGATTGTTCATATTACTTTTTCGATTTCTTTTAGTTATCATGATCGAGAGTAAAATTCAAATTGAATAATTTTGAAACTCACTAACGGGTAGCCCAGAAATAATGACACACTTTTACAACTTATTTCTGTGCATTTAAATGAAGCTTTAAGACTCGATTCTTAGGCTCATTTAACAGAGAATTTTCTGCTCTACAAAATCCGTTACCTTCTTTCATTACATATTATTTTATTATCTAAAAAGATTGTGTAGAGTAAGGACACGTAAAAACTATAACTGCGACGAATCGAACAGCTTGTATGTTTTTTCTGTATTCGACGTAATTGATTATTTAATAATGTTTCTGTCAGCTATTTGTCACAGGCACTATGCGTAAGGAAACAGTTTTGATTTAATTAATTCACATTGAAAAATAATATTTTTCCTAACATTTAGCCACTAATAACAAATGGTCATAAGATTATAGGGTTATTGATGTATCTATTTTTGTCTGATTATCGTATGTTTCCAGGAATTCGTTCTGACTTCAGAAGACACAAATGATTTTCTGTTCTACAAAACCCTCTATATCGTACACTTATACAGCGTTATTTGATTAGTCTTTTCCATGCATTTTTCAAAATCTCACGTTGTCAGAAAGTACTAATTAACTTGTCCACTAAAATATTTACAATTTAAGTGACGAAACGCAAAAGCAGCGTAGTCTGGACGATAGTCCTCAATTTGCTGAACATTTTTATACCATCTTCTTTTCTCAGTTACCATATTATTTCTCGAAAAATTTGCACAGCAGTCAAAAACTATCAAAATTTTGATCTACACAATCTTTTTACATAATAAAATAATTCTTGGACCAAATGAATAAGGCCTTTGTGTTTCCGATTGTAATTTACGCATCTGTCATTTATTCTTCAACACATAAAACCGATCTCAGTCCTATGTTTTCTCTTCAGTATAAATTTGCATGCCTAGTTTCCAGGTGTAAACGTCTAACGGATAAGCTTAAGATGTTACACTGTTTGAGGTGGTTAGAGACATCGAACGAACTTTTTTGAACAATGTTTTGTTACTAGGGTTTAAAATATTAATGGGATGAACATCTGAACACTTATAGGATAAATTAATAAAAAACACAAATTTCCATCACGTTTTGCGTTCTCAAACATCCAACAAACTAAATACACTCACAGATACAAGGAGATTCGAAATGTCTTTCTTTCTTTCCTCGTTTCATACTTGAGTGGAATAAGTTAGATAATAATCTGAGATCATGAATAAAAATAAAAGAGTTTAAAAGTAAATTAATCTTGACAGAAAATAATATAAAAGTTTTTAGAATCTATGGTATGAACAGAGAGTATGATCAGATCTATGACCAGTTAAGGTGTGGTTTTTCTGACCTGAACTCTTACCTTTTTCGAAAACGTCTAGTTGGAAGTAATCTCTGTCAATGTGGTGTACCTGAAACAGTGAAACATTTTTCTTCTTCATTGTTATTTATTTGCTCCTTATCGTACTGTGATGACGAATACTATTACCGATTCCATAGCACGAAAAATTAGGATTGATGTTAAAAATCTGCTCTTAAAAAATAGATTTGAATATAATGAATACTCTGCAATCTATTCTGCTGTTATAAAATTTATTGAACACTCTAAACGATTTAACAGCTAACGTACTGTGCATATCCCGAACTTCTTTCAGGCATAAAAACTGAGTCGAATGAAGTGTATTTCAAGTCAATTTGACAACTTTCATTTTTTGACCTGTGTACAACAATTGCAGCTCTACGACGATACCTGAAAAAATGAGCAAAAATGAAAGTTGTCAAATTGACTTGAAATACACTTCATTCGACTCAGTTTTTGTGCTGATACCGAATCTGTATTTAGTTTATGATTGAAAGTCTTATTTGAATTCGAAAAGCCTTGAATACTGCCTAAAATGACTATGATACCAGTAAAGACGATTTTTCTCAACACAGAAAAGAAAAGAAAAAAAAGGATACGTAACTTTGTAACTGGCGGTACGATGAGTCGAATGAGATAAAATATTTGCCTTTATCACTTACGTAGAAAAACTAGATAGGTTTACAAAATCAACCTATACGTGGTGCACTCGACGCGATTCGAAACGCCACCACCAGTAGGGTTTTGGGTCTAGGGTCATTTTAGCAACGTCTCGGTACTCAGTTTTTGATGCTGAATCTGAAAAAATTAGTTTCGGAAGCTGGAAAATAAAATAAAGTAGAAAATTTTGCACATTTCGAAAAAGATGTGTTTTTCTCGAAAAACGACATCTCTCGAGTATTTCGTATTTTTCGACTGGAAGGAAGCATTTGCTATGGCTAAAAAGTAGATTTTCGTGATCAGCAGATCACGCTCTATCAAATGGTGTAAAAAAAGGCGAAAAAAAAACTTTTTACGCGAAGTTTGAATTGCCTGCACCTTACTTAACTGAGGTTTTAAGACTCGATTCTTAGGCTCATTTGATAGAGAATTTTCTGCTCTATAAAATCCATTACTTTCATTCATTATATATTAGTTTAATCTATATTTATTAGTTGGCTGAAATAAGCATCACAGATTCGCAGTCGGAAATCACAAAGCATTATATCTGGCTATAGACACGTAACATAGACAAATGGAATAACAACAAAAAAATAAAAACTATCATTTAAAAAAACAAAAGAAAAGTTAAAAAGAGTGGAACAAGTACGGGATATGCACAGTACGTTAGCTGTTAAATCGTTTAGAGTGTTCAATAAATTTTATAACAGCAGTATATTCAAATCTATTTTCTAAGAGCAGATTTTTAACATTAATCCTAATTTTTCGTGCTATGGAATCGGTGATAGTATTCGACGTCGCTAAAAAGTAGATTTTCGTGATTAGCAGCTCACGCTCTATCAAATGGTGTAAAAAAAGGCGAAAAAAAAAACGTTTTACTCGAATTTTGCAAATTCCGCTCCTTACACAGAAATAAGTTGCAAAAGTGTGTCATTATTTCTGGGCTACCCGTTATGAGGAAAAATATTATGAGAACACTATGAGAGTTCTCACTAGTAAAAAAAGATTTAAAAAAAACATAACGAAATGTACATGTGAACGTTTTGTGTAAAAGTAAATTTTATTTTTGTCTTTTAAACAAATTCAGTAATTTATTTCCCATTGATTGAGTTGATTTATCATTCGATTTTCTATACGCTGGTTTAACATCATATAATAATGATGATAAATTTTTCTGAGATACCAAATGAGTTCCTATGTCAATATTATCTTGTCTATTTCTTATCGATGTTATTGGTAAATCAAAATGAACTATTTTACGTACACGATTTCGTGATAATTGACTCATTTTTTCATCATTTTTATACCATAAATTTTTATTTTTTTTTAAATCATGACTATCAATTTGAAAATAAATTAATTTATTAAAATATTTTTCAATTAATAATAAATGTTCATCTTTCCATATTGAATATATAAATTTAAATTTTAAATATTCAACATTTATAAATAAATTTGATAATTGTTGAATAATATTTATTTTTGATGTATTATCATAATAACATTCGACAATAATTTTTAAATATTTTATACGTTCTAAAATATTTTTTATTGTATCATCATTATAAATAATTGATCGTTGTATTAATGGTAATATTTCGTTATAACCAATTGTTAATTTTGATAAATTTGGTATCATCATAATTAATTGTAAAAAGAAAACAGTATTTGTATGTTTTGTTATTATTAAATGTGTTAATTTTGTCATTGTTATAAATAAATTTTCATTTAATAATATTTCATTTTTATATAAACGATTTAAATTATTTGAAAGTTTTAATTTATTTATATTTTGAAAATGTTTAATTATATGACAAAAATGAGTCATTGATACATTTACTGATGGTACACATAATAATAAATATTTTACATGAGAATAATCAATATTATTATTAATAGATGATATTAATGATGTTTGAAATATTTGACATGTATATGGTATGGTATGTAATATTAATAATTTCATTGATTCACTATTATCAATATAAGAATAGATATGCCATTGTTTTTTTATAATCCAAAAATCAGTTAAAAATGATTGTGTAATATAATTTATACAAGGAGGTTTATGTGTATTAATTAAATGATATCGAATAGAACATGAAAATTTATTTAAATTTATTAATTTTTCAAATGTATCTTTCCAACAATGACCATTTGTATACGATATATCGTATGTATCAATATCGACTGTTAAATTTTGTAATGATGATAATTTATTAATAAAAAATGAAAATATAATAAAATTAATACTTTTATTTTCTAATGTTTTATAATGAAAATTAATTAAATTTGAAAAATTTGGTATTGAATAAGAAAAATGAGAAATATCAAAATGATTTGAATAAATATTTGCCTCTAATGTTAAAATATTAGAATTTATTTTTAATAATTGAATTAAATCTAACATTGTTTTTAATGTTATTTTTAATTGTTTTATAGAATATTGAGATATTTTATTAATAAATGGAATATAAATACCATTTTTAATATATAATAAAATATTTTCTAATTTATATTGATTATATAATAATTCAATATAATCAATATCATTATTATTATCATCTGTAAATAAATGAAATATTTTTAAATTTTTAAAATAATTTAATAGAGAAAATAATTTTATTGATGATAAATGTGAATCAATTAATGTTAAATATTTAAGATTTGTAAAAGTATTTTGAATTAAAAAATGATCATAAAATAATTCAATTTGTCCAGGTGTCATTTTATTACTCAATTTTAATGAATAAATATTTTTATGTAATAATGGATAGAATTTTAATAATTGACAACAATATTCATATTGTTTATATGAAATATTTGAAAAATCAATTATAATATGATATTTAAATTGTTGAATTATTCGATTCAAACGTAAATTAAGATCATTAAAAGCATAAAAAATATCAACGGATCTTAGATAAGAACATATTATTAATAATATCTCATCTGATAGTTGCTCCATATCGACATAAGTTAGAAAAAATAAAAATAAAAACAGTCCGTTTTGTCAATATTAATTGTAGTAATAAGAATTGTCAGTTATATGTCTCACTAACTAATATGAATTATTATTTTGTTATATTCATTGCAATATTACGATTAAAAGAAGAAAGTCAGGCACAAAATTGTCAAGAAGGGAAAAAAATATAATAAAAGGTGACTGTATTGATAGGCAAAATAGAAGAGAAAGAAAGAAATATTTTGTCATGAAAGACAAACATTGTTCGTTCCAGGGTTTACTCGGAAGTATGTACAAAAAATATTTATTCAACAGAAATCACCACCAGTCTATAGACTTAAAAAAAGGTCGCGTTTACAATCTCAAATTACCCATTCAATAACCTATAACAGATTCAAAATGTCTAAGTATGAAGAATATATTTTCTCATTTTAAAGGTAAAGAATAATATTATTCACTTTAATTTATTTTAGACTTTAGTTGAAGAAAAATTTCTACAATCAATTCCCAGAATCGCTAGTCTCAGTAAAGATATTATCATCAACGAAATATAATACATATGAGACATGCATCGTAGACTCAATTTTTAACCCGTCAAAGCCAGCTTAATTGAGTTGAAGCTAGCTGATGCGTTTGAATTCGGAAAATTTGGAAATTTTTGGCAGAACCTGGGGGAAATACGCGAGATAGATATTGATAAATGTCAATAAATGTCGACATTTGGGGACGATACACTTTTCTCAAAAGCTATTTAGAACCGATACCTTAACCTCACTATCTCGTATGACCTAACACATCTGTTAATTAAGTTAAGTCTCCTATAATAACTTCAGAAATTTACAGTAAGGGGACCGCGTGAATCGTCCGATTCACGTTTTATTTATAACTTACCAACAGCAGAAAAAACTGCTAGTAATGGTAATAGAAGTATGGATGATGACACTGAAGACGAAGACATTTTTATTGGCATATGCCGATAAAGGATATTACCAAAAGCAAGAAAAATGGGTGTATATTTTAACGGGTTGTGTACAAGAAAAATTGACGGAAACAAAAACATTTGTCCATTATGATTTTATTCTTTCCACCTATCTGCTCTCATAATACAGATTTTGCAAAAAAAATGCTTTTTGATAGCTAAACATAAACTTACGTAAACGTTTTCCGTATTTTCGTCCTTGTTATTCTTTTTAAAAATACATAAATAAATAAACTTTTTGTTCGATTTTTAAATGTAATTTGTCGTCGTCTTATAACTCGCTTGACCAGTGATTATGATTTCATAAAAAGTAAGTGAAAGTAATGAAAATACCTGTTTTAAATAACCAATGGAAACATATTGTGAAAAATGTACTGTATGGCATTTCCTATGTGAAATTGACACAAAAAGTTGTAAAAAAAAATTCGTTAATTTTTGTCCTCTGCTGTAAAACTCCAGCAGGATGACGACATTACTGTTGTCTCACGAGGGAACCTCTTGAGGTTATAAATCGCTTTTGAACTCGGACTACTTGTATCTTGTAGACCTCAGTGAGTAGTGAAATACCCTAAGTTGGTTCATCCCCATGGTGCTTTGTTGCTGAGATA